AATGTGTAAGAAGACGCCATGTTAATTAATCAACTGTATGTCCAACAACGCGCCTGCGACAACGCCACAAAAGGGCCGTCGGTGCAACGGTGACGCAATCCTCCTTTTTCACATTTTCAAGCTGTCATGTCTCTGGGGGTGTAACGCCCCCCATCAAAAACAGATTAAAATACATCAAAAAGGGGATTAAAGAATCTGCCGACACCCCTAAATCCTTCAAAGGGCGTCTGACTCTATCAAAGCGTGAGCATGTTTAAATATGAGGCGACACACACGACACATGAAGTGCGCCGCGATTCCTACGACTGCGAGGGGAGTAAAATTTCGATTTCCGTGAAAGATTGACACCGACTCGGAGTGACGAGCCGCTTTTGTTATCTTTGTTTACGGCAGCAGCCAATAAGCTGAACAGAGAAACAAAAAGCTGATGCGCCTCGTGTACGTGTGGAGAGGTCAGACAGGAAACAAAACAAAGAGACTCCAGGACACAAGGAGAGGAGAAGGGCAAGATGAATTCTCCATTTTCTCATTTGGGGGTTTCCCTGTTAAGCGACAGTGAGGTGGGGCTCACCTCAAGCGATTCTTATGAGTTCAAAGCCGGTGGGAGGAGGGAGGCTGTGTGGGAGAACGGCAGACAGTTAAGATGGGATTTCTCATTACTCGCTCTGTGTCCTGGCTATCACCACTGTATACCGCTCGCCCTATAATTTGGCTTCCCCCTCCTCCTCCTCCTCCTCCTCCTCCTCCTTTTCTCTCGTGGAGACTCAAACTGAATACATAAGATTGCGCCCCACCAGGCCACACTTCTCTTTCATCTGCTTGTGTTTCCACAGTATCCGACTGTGCACACACAGGAGAAAACACACAGACTGGATGACAAAGCAAGAGCAGGGAGGCAAACGCCAAGACAGACACGCGTTACCGTGCAAACACGACTTCAAAGACCAGCAATATGAAAAATAATGAAGCAAAGCGCCATATTTTAATAATGGTTTGGCTGTATGTGGCGTGTACATATATGACCACGGGGCATGAGAAATGAAATATTCATCTCATTAGACTGCATAGTAATGGGATGTCAGAATTATTATGTTGCTCAACAAACACAAGTAATATTATTATTTCAAAGATCTGAGAAATGCTGCTGGAGACATAATAAGCAACTTTCCACTGAGACGCCACAACGGCTGCAACGAGCAATCAATTGATTGATTAGTTGTCAGCTTTTAAATTAATCGTCGGCTAAGTTTATTATTTTTTTTACGTGAGGAAAAAAGAAGTCAGAATTCTCTGATTCCAGCTTCTTAGATGTGAATATTTTCTCGTTTCTTTCCTCCTACATGACAGTAAACTGAACGTCTTTGGGTTGTGGACAAAACGAGACATTTGAGGTTGTAACCTTCAGTTTTAAACAACATCTTTCGCCATTTTCTGACGTTTTATAAACCAAATAACTAATCTACTGATTGAGACAATAATCGCCACATTAAAAGTACTTGCTACCTGCAGCACAAACCTCAAAGTTTACTTAGAGCTCATTATTATAACAACAAATAATAGTTACTAAATGGAACTCTAGTTCAAGAAACATGTTTGAATTAGAATGATGGTGGCTTGTTATGTTTTCCTAAATACAGTACCAAGAAGGATTTAAGAGGAAATGGAAAAAATCTGTAAAAATGTTTTATTTTTAGCTGATTCACATACAGTCCAAAAAAAAAAAAAAAAACTGTGTAATTTTACAATTATACACTGTAAAAGAGCAAAATACAATTTATAAAAACACAGATTATTTATGTGGAACTTATTTATAGTTTTCAGTTGTTTTTTGTTTTATACAGTCAACATGTTTTTTTTCTGTGATTTACTGAATATTATCTGTAATTTAACTGAACGAGCAAAATCTGTAAAATAACAGTTAAAAATGATTTGCAATTTTTAACCCCCCCCCCCTTTTTTTTTAAAACTTTTCGTTCAAATAATGGCAAATATTGGTAAAATAACAATATAGATTGCTGATTTAATCACTACAGTAGAACAGTGTCATCCATGTGAAGTGCCGTGAGACGACATATGGTGTGAATTGAAAAAAATAACGTTGAAATGAATTGTCATTAAAACAGCAAAGGTTGCTAAAGAAACAGTTACCACTTTTGACATCAACATTACTTACATTTTTTTTTTTTTTACAGTAAACATGTTAATGAATACTTTCTGTGGTTGTTGCTAGATATAATCAATATGATTGATCTGTATATACTGCATGATTTACCATTTTCCAGTTGTTAATATACAGAATTTTCCTTTCACAAAATATCAATAAAATGATTTTTTTTTTGCTTATTTAAAAACAATAAAACAGTGTCATTATATGATCAAACATCATAAAAGAATTACCACTTTTGATGTAGACATTAAAGTTGTTTTTTTTGTTTTTACAACTTGCATGTAAATTAGTACCTTTTTCTGTGAATTCATTAGATATTATCTGTAGTTTAGCAAAAACAGGAGTAATCTGTAAATCATCAATAAGTTGTTGAAAAATTTAAAATGAACAAAACTTTTCAGAGCACAGGAGCCGATACAGCAAAGAGATGAATCTGAGCGGCGCTTTAGTGCTGCTGCTGCTGCTGCTGTGTGGACGTGGACGCGTTTCCTCGAGAAGAATGAGCAGCACGTCTCGTTGCAATCCATCCCAGATATTACCCCGGTGTTTGTCAGATATGTTCCCTGCCACGCCAGCCATCCGTGACTCAGTCCGTCATTACATGTGAGGGGTCACGCCCACTCGGCCCCGCCTGCACCGCCGCTCCCGGCTCTGATGGCGGCCTAATGGCCTGCTCTCTCTACACTGCAATTAACCTTTTTATTGGCCACCTGCCAGCCAGCTGCAGATACATCAGCGCGTGTGTGCGTGCGTGGAAGTAAAACCATAAATGCAATGTGCTCGGTGTGCTCGGCGCGCGTGCACCTGAACACACAGCGATCGATGCTTTTAAGAATATGAATGTGAAAAGTGTGTCAGCATACATGTGTTTGAATATAATGGCGGACATATTTTACCTGCTCCCCTCTTCGAATGGAAATGGAATGAATCTAACATCCCATCATGTGCTGCTGGCTGTGCTGCTGTCTGATAGCAGAACACATATTGGAACACAAACTAAACAAGTTCCCTCTGCATTATAAGTCAACACAGATATTATTTGCACTGCAGAAAAAGCACATATCCTTCATTCTGCTGCTGCTGTTGGATCAGCAATGAAAAAGTAAACAGAACTTCTCCAAAATCCAACTCTTTAAATTTGTATCTTAAATTCTAAGCTCCACACTGGGTATTTAAATGTAAGACTGTAGACTTCAAATACATCATATCTCAAAAATTTCATCAAAGCTGGACAACTAATCTCAAAGACATCACTGCTGAAGTCCCTCTCCAGATATTCATCCAACCCTTGAAGACTCATCTCTGTGTACAAAAAGACACATTTAGAACATTTTCTTGCCTTAAAGCAGCTTGGATGTAACCGCTTCCTTTAGAATAGGTGGATCTATGAAATTACCACTTTTAACTCGCTGCAGCTCGAGCACACCAGCTCACCTACACCGTAAAGCTACTCTATGTGCACACACAAAGGAAAGTTGTAATATTGGAAATTAGCCAAATATATGATCAAAGCAGGAACAGGTTCTGAAGAAGAATCATGATACAAGAAGTCTTAACTTTAGGTTGACAAGTTTTGTCACATTTGGTTCCTTGAAAATCTAAATCTGTGTTTTAGAGACCATCAGTGTTTTTGCCCTATAGTTGTTCCCCTAAATCACTGAACAAGAGGTGGAGATAATGCACCAACAATCACCAACAAGGACAGATAAGGAAATGACTGATGGGTAGCAAACATGAATGTAAAAGATGCAGGACAAACGTCAGGAGAATGTGCATTCATCACATGTGTTAAACTTCAACTTGAGAAACAATAAATCTTAATACAATAAGTGTCTTTGCTTTTTTACTAAATACTCATTTGGCCATTTGTTGTATTGTAAACACTGCACGTAGTATCTACAAAACTGGGGGTCGACTGACTATCAGATCAGAAATTCTGCTTTTTTTCCCAATTATCAGTATAATTATTTCCCTTTAAAGAAATTCCTTTTAAAATGTGCTTCTTTGATGCAGCTCTTGGGAAACGTCCCATCCACAGCATTATCTGATTGGTTAGTCGTTTCAAGAAATAGCCAATCAATACTGAGGGATAACCTCCCATTTCATTGAAAATAAATTACAAATATTTTGACACCAAGCTTTTGTTGTTTTGCATTTTCAAATATCACTTATCGGCCAACCCCTCCTAATCTCTGTGAATGAAGAAGGGAAAGTGTTTTGAAATGGTAACAAACAGCCTCATTAGCTCCCTCACAGCCCGGCAGTGACTTCACACCGGCACTCGGCGTCTGAGAGGCTTATACTGTACTATCCCATTGTCAACAAGAGGCCTCTCACCAGCGTCTTAAAATCTGGCAGAGCACGGCTGAGCAGAGAGCACACAGTAAATGCATTCTGTGGCTCCTCCAGCTGCAAATTGAATTTCAGGGCATGACTTGACTCAAAACACCTAATAATCCCACGTCACTAGCTGTTCCCAAGCTGAACAAGGTCACATTGTAGGACTAGTAATGAAAAAAAAATATAGAAAGGGGTAAGAAACAGAGCCTTTTACAAGCATTTATCCAGTAGGGAAATGGATGGAGGCTCCAGCGAGGTGAAGGAATTTATAGAAAAGAAAACACAAATGGCTGAGATTTGAAGGACAGGAACATTCAAAGCAACAATAGAACCTATTTATGATTGTAGTGTGTGGATGTGCATTTACAGTGGAGAACATGTAACAAACACTGACATGTTAGAGTTAAGAACAAAGATCTAATCTGCACGGTAGGAACTTTACGGATCACTGTTGTTTCCACAGAGTCTCATCAGTAAACCCTCCAGCTCTTACCTGCGACGGCGAGTCGTGCCGTGCGGCTGGAAATGGATCCCAGGTTGTCGATGGTGGCGACGCACTGGTAGGTTCCCTCGTCGGGCTTGTTGTGCTTCGAGTGGACCACGTGGGTGAAGAAGAGCGAGCCGTCGGGAAGTATGTGCCGCCTCTCGTCCGAAACCAGGCTCATGAACGTGCCGTCTTTCTTCCACTCGATGCGAGCCGGCGTGGCTGTGTCGCTGTGTGCCGAGCAGTTGAGCAGTGCCGAGTTTCCCCGGATGGCCAGCGTGTCCTGGGGCTCCACCGTGAACCAGAAGGGGCTGAAGGGGTGCGCTGCTGAACCTGAGGGGCAACGAGAGGGGAAAAGACATCAGCTGGTTGCTCTACATGCAAGTTTGGTACCATCTGAGAACACGAGCAACGAATCTGTTCCAAAGTTGGTAGTACTTGTACTAAATTTGATGCCTGCTTCAGATTCCATCATCTGAAAACCTTCAACCTGACCAACCGCATTACTAAACACCAAGTCAGGTGAATGCAACCCCTGTAACACATCACTAGAAGTAACTTTTCTCGCATGCAGAAGATTCAAGAAAGCTGCAAAAAGCTGACAGTCACTCTGGAATACAAGCTGCAAATCACATCACTCAAGACGTCACTGACTTCGGTGGCACATTTCTAAGCTCGATCTAAAAATGAAAGCAGACTGCAGCACTCCAAGTGCCCCGAACACTCAATGAAATGTTCCAGAAGCAAAACATCTTTTTGTTCATTCTATCTTTTCAGCCAGCGCGCCTCAGTCCATCCCAGAGACTCTGAGAGGCTTTTTATTATCAGACCACAGGCCCCACTGGAATTGGGCAAGAGGAACTGACAAATTTAACCCAGTCAAGCCTCCCTGGCAAGTTAATATCACGTCTTGCTTTATTCTAAGTACAGAGCACAGCGAAGGAGTAAACACTTTGGAACGCGGTTGCCGTTTCCTTTCCTACAGCATAAATGGAACCAGTGCGCTGACATGGATAGTGCCAAAGTCAGAGTAAGTGCAATTGCTTTGCATTTGTCCTCATGTATTATTCAGGCTCTCCCACCCTAAGAGTCACACAGTGGTATTGTTTAGATAAATAACACCAATTATCAGTTCTACAGGGATGGGGAAGAGCTCGAAAAATTATTAAGGGGATATGAAGGTGTTTAAATAATGCAACGGATGGAGTGAAATAAGTGGCTGAGTGTTAAATGCAGTTTAAAATATGCCTGCTCTCTTCTAAGGAAATGGCACGTCTCCAGGGGTGATGGAGAGCAGAAAGAGAGGAAGACAGAAAATGAGAGAAAGAACTGGGAGAGCGAAAGAGAGATGCTATGTCAATGGTTCAGCTATTTAACTACTGGGAGGTAATTCCTCTACCTTGTGACGCCGGGTCTCTGGTGTGAGATCCAAAGAGAAGCAGTGTAATGCATGGTCCATTACAGTGGCAATATGGCTGCTTGTCCTCAGTGCACTTAGTTCTCTTGAAAGCACAAACAATTACGGCAAAACACTGCAGAAAGTGACTGAATTGAGTAGAAATTTTCCACTTTCGCATTAGGGAATAAATGTAAGACAACACGGCAATCCAGCTAAGCTGCGCATTCATCTCCGATTCACTAATGGAGACGACTAGAATAGAGAAAGGGAAGCATCCTCATTCTGTCTCAATGAGCCCGGCCATTCGGACTGAATTATGGACAGAACAGAATAGAAATCCTTTATTGTCTTTGCACCGTGTACAACCAAATTAAGCAGCAATCCTGTCAGTGCATTCACACGATTAGACAATAGTGTTTTTTCAAGTGCAGCAAGAAATGTGCAGATATAAAAATGTGGCTGACAAATGGTGTGAACAACTGTATCCAAGGAAAACAGTAATATTTTGTGAGGACGTTTGGTGTGCTTAAAAACTGTAGCGTAACTGCACTTCTGCATTTTGCAATACATGCAAACGTAACGGCTTCAAGTAGTGCAAAACGTACACACAAGCCATTTACACAGATTCTGTAAATGTAACAGACTGATTACTGAAGCGCCTTTCAATAAAAACAGGAGAAATTAAAAAAAGCATTGCCTTATTTATATGCTCCTGTGGCTGCTGTAGTTTCATTTCCCTGCATGCAATGAGCAGCTGCAGACTGACTGCAAGTAAAGCAAGATTTCAGGACACTAAACTTTATTAGATCTGCTGATGCAAAGCGCTCAAAACATTTAGAAAATCCCTCCAGGCAGAAGTGAATGTGAAATTCAAGTGAACAAACAGCAGTGAGGAATAAAATATGCCCGTCCTCAAACAGAGCAACACATTTTCAGCAGTAAGCGAGCCGGCTTTAAATTGGGCCGAAGCAAGCAGCTGATTTGAGGAAATCAATAAATTCAGAGCGGCCCTGTGTACATATTGGGCCCAATGTGACAACGCCAGCAAATGTATTTTACCGACGGTGTACATGACAGATGGAGGGGGACTGGAGTGGAGGAGCAGTGGGGGGAATTCGTCACTCCTGCAGACCAGAGGCACCATGGCATGCTTAATCATCTCTGCTTTACACTGCTGGAACAGTGGCTGTGTGGGTTGGGCAGAGCTTCCAGGCCCAGCCTTGGCTCCTTTCCAGCCAAAACGACCATCTTCAGCCGACTCTCCATCTGAGGAGGAAAAAACTGAATGGGCCTGAAGATCCTGCGGCATCCTATCAGAGCTAAAACAGCCGCCTTTAGCAGCTTTTTATCCCCATCGTGGAAACAGTAGGGGAGGGCTTAGCTTCGGCTCTACTGTCGGACAAAATGGCGAACCATCTGCTTTCGGTTGCAGACACAACATCCACTGTGTTAGCAGAGCGGGGCAGGGGAATGAGGCTGGATCGGAGATGGGGGGGGTAAACCAGGACTGGCTATCTGCTGTTCCACAACATCCACGTTATCTTTGGCTCAAATCAGATTCCCGAACCGAAAAAACTCTACTAATATCAACCTGCAGACAGACACACACACTAACGTGATGTCCTTGGTAGTGGCCAAAGTCCAAACTCCAATAAGCAAAGGGAGGCGGGACGGTGAAATCAATGCCACATTTGCAGAATAAACAAGTATTTCAATGAAAAGTGGCATCAACAGCACAAAAAGTTTCCAAACTACATTTCTTTGCATCATGCAGAGAAACTTGGAATCTCAACAGAAGCTTCACATGAGAACAGATTAGGCGACAAACATGACGCTGGTTCCAAAGCATGTGAAATTCTCAGATTGTAAGGCAACTAAAAATAATTCAACATAGGATTATAGATAGAAAATGAGGCGTTCTGCATAAGAGCTCACACTGAAATTCATTCACCAGTTTCAAGGTTTCCATAGGAATGACAAAAAAAAGGTTCTAATATCAAAACAGGCTTTTGAACTTCACAGAAAATCTCACAAAGGTTTAAAAAAAAAGAAGGTGTGTGGTTAAAATTAACAGGTTAACCAACACAAATGTCTTAAAACACTGAGGATTAATCAAGAAGATAAGGCCAGCATCTCCACAACAAGCAAGAATCTCCATCTGTAGCATTTGGCTGCAAACAAACTCATTACTAAACCCAAAAAAAGGCCCTAAAACAGACTGAAAACAAGCTTCAACTTTTACGTCAAAGGAAAAGTTTACTTTTGGAAGCTAACAAGCTTGAGAGTTGTAGGCCTGGTTTAAAAAAAAAAAAGAATAATCCTAATGAACACCTACAGAAGGAGGTGATGCACTGTGAAGTGTTCATTGACAGAAACCTCAACCGAGCTCATGTTCTCATACATCAAAGCGCAGGAGGAAAGAAAAAAATCTAACCGAACCTCGCTGAAACAGCACGTAATGAAAAGAAGGAGATTCGGTGAGTTTTACAGCTACAAAGAATTCTGTCTCATGCGCAAGAAGTTCTTTTTTTTTTTTTTAGTCTTGTAGTGTATTTAGCAGCGATGCACACGAGGGTCAGAGGAAATCTTTAATAAGTAAAGTACAGTAGGTTTTCCCTTAAACGTTTCTTACAGTTACAGCAACACATATGTCTCTGTGCCGGAATGTATTAGCGCAGAAACACTGCGAGCTTTTACCAACACAGCTGTAGAGCCGGAGAAAGAAAACGGAGGGTGTCAGAAACCACATTACAGTGTGAGAAGTCTAATCTATTCAGGCCCACCAGTGAGGGAGCTCCCGTTTGTGTTTGAAAAATAGGAACCTCCACACCGGGAGACCAGCGAGAATGAAGGAGCGGAGAGCAAGGGGCTAGAAAATGAGGTTGTCCGCTTGATAAGTATGGGCTGTTACCTCCGTCCCAAATCCACTTTTCTCAGCAGCCATAAAAAAGGTTTGGGAGTCCGGCTTAAGGTGGCGCCCCGATATGCCGCCTTGCTCTCCTGCTCCCGGTTTCTCCCCTCAGATGGGAGAACAGAGCGGAAACATGGAGCCATTGCTGGATTTCCGGTGTTAAAAAGCGAGTTTGCAGACATTACACTGTCGAGGTGAGGCGTGCGAATTGAGGTAATGTGTTCAAACTGTGGGCCGCAGCCTCGAGACGTCTTCGCTCGAGGGTTTTGGAAAACTGAGGAAATGGATTGTAACAAGTCCAGAGCAGCTTAAACTCCCCCCTTTTTTTGCGGCATGTATTCTATGACAAGGATCAATTTCTGTTTCTGCAACCCACCCAAGTACGGTTCACCGTTTGGGCAGTAGATTACAAAGTCGGCCTCTCAGCGTTAGGTGTAATCCCGGTAAAGAGCAGCGGTTGAGGGTCTGCTCTCCACACAAAGACCCCCTGTTCTCTCCTATTCTAGCCTTGGCTCAGCAGGAAGCCTCCTCCTTCATTGACCTGCTGTCTGAGAGCAGCCATATTGACTGCCCTCCTTATTGAGCCGCTCTTGAGACAGAACAGACCACTCACAAAACCAGTCACACTTTCAACAACAGAGGCCCTTCTGTGGCTCCGACTCCGGGACGAGGAAATCCTGGACAACATGAAAAGTAAACACACTCGATAGCGGGGCCGCCGCTTCATCAGACGATTTGAATAACTCCATTTGGAAAGAATTACTCATTCTAGAGGGATCGGGGGGATTCTGTAGTGGAGTGCATCTGCATAGGAAATTTAAAATAAGTTTTAAAAAGTTGAAAAATTACACTAGCAAAAAATAAAAATCGATTGCTGCTTTTGGATGGCATTCAGATGTGATCTTTGTGGTGCTGATTTAAATGGTCAAACAAATCAGTTGGTCGATGTTTCTGTAGCCAGAATATTTACATACAACTGACTATAGCTGCATGAACATTGTGATCCGTATTGAGAGAACAGTTCCCCTCTTTATCACAATTATTCATTGATTTTTTTGAGACAAAACATATTTTATTGCACTTTCACATTCAAACAGAGCGCTGCCTTCACTTAAGTGCTCTGTTATGTTCCTGCTAATGTACAAATGTGCATCTACTAGAGGCAAAATAGAAATAAAATTGCGCCAAGAACGCCTCACACAATTTACGGATGCTCCAGAAACACTTCACGTGCAGGAATGAGAAGGAGCTGTGGACCAAGGAGCTTCTATTCTCCACTGGGTTACTGCAGCACAGCAGCCAAGACGAGTGTGCAAACAAAAAATATTTTATAAAAGATGTTCTAACGTCAGATTTACCCAACTTGAAAGCAAGTGACGTTATCTACGTTGGAGATTTCGACAAGAGAAGGGTCAATATCGCTGTTGATCGTGTCATTTAATTGCAAAAAGTCAAAATCGTGATTATACTCCATCAAGTGTGCAGCACTACAATTTACGTTGCATTTCTTTTTGCAGCTAAATCTTCATTTTCAGTATTTCCCTCCTGTTCTCTGATCAGTTTCTTGAGCACATATGGAGCCTGCATGTCAACGACCTCTGTGCATCGTAAATATAGTTAAAAAAAAGCTTTCGTGTATCCAAAACCCTTTAATTGGAGTACATTTTGTTGCATTGGACAGACTTTTCTTGTAGATTTTTAGAATAACTGCAAGATTTTGCAGCAAAAACCATCTAACACAACATGTTTCAGTCAATTTCCTTTACTTCCCATCACACTTCTTGCGGCGTGACTGTTGCGCACATCACAATGTCGATGCGGTTATTTTGTACTTAATAGGGAATTCGCACTGCTGAAAAATGACATTTCCCAAGGCTGCAGAGTAATATATATCCCTCTTGTTTTGTCATTACATAGGAATATGGGTTTCTCACTCTTGGTTCAGTTCCTGTTTCACAACGCGTCACTGGATCTCGGAGCTGTGAGGCCTTTATAAGGAAACAACGAGCCGGGAGTACAAAATCATTAATAGCACATCAAGGATGAATGGAGGCCTTCTGCAGAGGTAAAGATAGACGCAGCGGGAAGGCACTTTGTAATGAACCTGAGCACTTCATTCACTGAGCTCCTGCCTCTCTGCTATTTCCATCTCTTCACTGTTTGTCCTTCCACCCAGGGTTGCTTTAATGACGCTGATGGAAATGGTTGTCTCTGCTATCACACTTTTCCCCTCTCCTCCTTCATCCTTTTACCTCGAGTGTGTGTCTCTTTCTCTGCAGAATCTTTCATCCTCCCATCTCTCCAAACTCCCTTCTAAAGCCCATCTGTCAAAAGAAACACCTCAGGGAAATAACAATGATCTCCAGACGGAGCGAACAGGGACGAGGTGTCTTTAATGGAACAGGGGAAGAAATTGCAGCTGACTTGTTATATTTTTAGGTGTGCATCTATTTAGAAAAAAGAGGGCTAAAAGGTGTCCTCTTCTAATCAAAAGGACAAACAGAGAGGTCCTCCTCAAGGACTTTATTAGCAAGTGACGGCAGGTTGAGGCGGTTCGCTTGCTTCTCTCATTTTGTAGAAATTTGGCCACTTGAACCGAATCAAAGACGTTTAGATTTAAGTGGAAAGACTTATTTCATTAGAAGGCAACAGAAAAGAAAGGAGAAGGGTTAGATTCATTAACAAAGATTAATGCTGTGAAGGACATTTAAATTAAAATGAAAATGAGAACGCTGATGCTCACACATCTGAGAAAACAGAAAATCGCAGCCTGGAAGGAGGATAATTGAACGCAAAGTAACGGAGAGGTTAAGTGACACTGGAATGCATCTCGCTTTCACTCTTTTTTTTCTCTTCCTTTTCCTCGGTTGTAACTCAACTTTGTCAGAGTTAGTGCGGCCACTCGAGTCCTTCACAATGCCTGACATGCCTGAGGGAGGTAGCTATGATCGGGGAGACCACAACCCACTGGTTCTGGTATTCTCAGCATTCCCCGCAGCAGTAGAGTAAATGAGGGGTTGAGGCCAAGCCATAAAGGGATGGACAAAATGATTGGGGCGCCGAGCGCACACTGGCTGTCCTGCGCTGGCACCCACTCAACTGGCAGATTAAAAGAGGAAAGGATCCAATTTTTTCAGCTCACGGCTCTCTGTCATCCTGTATGCTCGCTGCCATTGTAAAACTCCAGAGACTACATGACAGGGTCACAGGCAGAGCCGGGTCACTGCAACAACATCAGCTTTACTTGCACCGGAATCTGCCGGAAAATGTTTTTCTAAAACAGAGTCTCTTTTTAATCAGATGGAGAAACAGATCCTGCTCAAATGATTCGCCGGTTAATAGGATTAGCAAATGCTTTGAGTGCAAGACTCCGGCAAAACATCACTTTTAAACAACCG